CTCCACCTCCTCAGTGATATCCTTTATCATCTTGAGTGCTCTCTTACTCACTCGGTCGTCCCATCTTATCTCCTCTGCCTGCCTTTTTATATCGCTGCATGCAACCCTCAACCATCCAGCCATAGTGTAGTGACCCACCAGCCTCCTACATGCTGAAAACAATTCTCGTTTACTCATCTTATCCGTTACAGGTGGAATCTCATTACCTCTTCAGAACACCAACTCTCCAGTTTCTTTATCCTTCTGCAACTTTAGCTCGAGTGCTGATCCCCCATTCAAGTGATTCTGAAGGTTTTGATGATATTAATCCATATTTTTTGAGGTGGCATCTTACTTTTTCTGCATGCACAACTATCTCATCCACCAGCATGTCATCGATATAGGAGTTTGTGGCCTGACTTATTGTCTCCTCCTGCTTCAGTACAGTCTTGAGCACTGCCACCATGATTTTTGGTGCAACATTCAATCCAAACCCCAATCTAGTAAGGCAATATGTGGTCCCCTTGTATCTTACAAGTTGGTACCACCACAGCTTCTCTGCTGCAAGTAATTACAGGTATGCTGATTTCAGATCTACAATTGTAGCAGCACCTATCGTCTCTCTCCACTCTCACATGGTTTCTCCCCATACATCAATATCATTACTTCTCATGTGGCATAATAAATATGTATTTAACTCCCTAAAGTCTAGTACTGGCCTAAATTTATGTTTTGTCAGTTGGTTAACTTCCATCAGTGGCAATATTCCATTTCGAACTTCTTCCTTCCAAGGTACCTGGATGTCTTCTTCAACCCATCTGTCCACCTCCTTTTCAAACTCCATTCTCTTCTCTTCTTGCATGGAATTCTCATATAAGCCCACCCTGTTCTTTAATATGGGTGGTCCCCACTTGTCCAGCACCATTCAACAGTTCACTTTTCGCCCATTAAATTCGACACAAAAATCCTTATCTTGAACTTTTAGCCTAGTCTGTCCACTGCCTTGCAGTTGCAGAGTCGCTGCACTTAGCATCTTACAAAATTTACTAGAGGTCAAGCATTTGAATCTTTCTGGAGCCTCCAGTTTATCAAATTTAACCTGGTTTCAATTAATGGTGACTCCCCCCTCCAGTTTCTCAATTGCATCAATGCTGTCGACAATATGCTCCAAAACAAGCACCCTTATCTTGAATTGCACTTCTTCTACCAATAATGTCACAGTGCTAGAACCCTTGCATGCAAACTCTCTCCTGTCAACTGCTTTTATAAGTGTTCATCCACTCAATCTTCTTATCAACCAGGGAATCACCAGGGTCATAGTGCATCCAGTATCCACTAGTGCTCTTGCTTTCCTTCCCTCTACTACAACCATTACAATTGGTAAGGTTTGATGTTGTGCCAATGTTGATTCATTAGGGCAGCTTGCCCATTTCTCTGGGGACCAAATCTGACAATGTATCCCTTCTCTCCACATCAGCATTACATCAGAGCAGGGTTCAGTTTTTTCTTACAATCTTTTGTCATGTGCAACCCACGACACTGAAAACATTGTCCACTAAACCATGTTGTTTGTTCTGTTCCTGGTTCTTTAGCAATCAGGCTTTGTGCCACAGCTTGTATTCTAAGAGATTCTCCAGCTCTATTCATGGTTATCCCCCTAGAAGCAGTTATCAACTTGCTCATCTCTTTAGTTTCAACCTGGGACAGCTGTTGAAGTGCAATCAATATTTGGTCTGGGAATCCATGCACAAATACCAGCTTTACCATCCTCTCCACACTCCTTCCCATGAATCCCACTAATATCCTACTATCATCTCCATATAGAGAGCTAATGCATCCCCCTCAAGGTACAACAGGATCACCCTTGCCAGGTCAGTGATATGTTGCAACCTAGCAACCAACTTCACTTTTGTATCCATGCCACTGCATCTCCCTGTCCATCAAAGGGTTTGATCACGTCACTGGCCACATGCATTCCCCACTCTCTCTTTCCATGGTGAAATGCTGAAATAGCTTGTGGACTTGCTGATACAGAGATGATAAAGAAAAACTTTTTTTTTCTTTCCTTTCCTGTCTGTTCACTCGCCAACACCTGTTTGCAAAGTAAAAAAAACACCCTGCCCATCATTCTTTCAAGATTTTATACAACCACCACTCACCCATAATGCATTGACACTTCCCTATATAAAAGTTACTTCCACTTTTCTAGTTTTCTGCTTCCTGTACCGGTAAGTTTTCACTTCTTTTCTCTCATCTTTTTACCACAATTTTTCATAAAAATTTCAACTTTTTACTCAATTTTAATGTCTACAAAAAGATACAAAATATTTATGTATATAAAATCAATGTAATGGAATAACCTGTCACCCCCATGAGTGACTACACTATAGGTAGTAACTACCTATAAGTATCTGTCAACGGACTACAGAGACAAGCTGTTGGGATCTGTTGAGTACAACTCAAACTTATGTGAGAACTACCAACCTTCCAATAGTAGCACTCAATACTGGATTGACTTGTGATGACTTTGTGCATAACTGTTACCTTTATTCTTATTGTACTGGTTTTTTACAATAAACCTTTACTTATTTTATCCACCTTGTTTTTCAAGTATATATTCCTATTCGCACGGAATATAAAAAAAATGCAATACAACTATTCTTTACTTCACACTAATGCCCTTGGGAAAAGCATGAATACATCTCTTCTTATCCCTTCTACTTCAGGGCAGATTGGGTTCTCTAGCCTTGGTTGACTACCAATGTTGGAGAAGAACAACTCTGAATTCAAGTCCATGAAGAAAACAATGAAAAACAACTCCAGTATATTTTCCAGAAACAATCATGGCATTATTCTATTTACAAAAAAAAAAAAAAAGGAAACTATAGAGAGCCATGATCGCTTATGTTCTGAAGTGACATGGTACTTAAAAGAAACTTTTCAGGGAGCACACAAATACTATACACTGTTATATAAGAAACAAGCCAGGAATAATCAACATGAAGCAAAAATGAATTTGAACCTCAACTTAATCCAGGGTTTACTAGTATAATCCAGTATGATCAAGCTAGAATTATAAGACCCCGCCCCAATGGATAAATATATTTTGCACTTACAAGTCCTGTTGCTACCAAAAAAAACGACCATTCTAAAAATTAACTCAGGCCATAAGTTGAAATGGCATTTTAACTGAAGTATTGTTCTTGTCAGTATGGCTGAAGAGTTATTATTAAAAAGTTTTGATAAGAAAGGCTGGATAAAATCTTCTTGTTTCTGATAGTGTCCATAAACAAGGGAATTAGATATTCAATATTAAAGAAATTTTTAAATTAGATAAATAATTAAATTTTTAAAAAATTGATGTGTCACTAAAGGAGAAGGGGTTCAAAGATGTATTGCCTGGGTTTGAATTTTCAATAAAAGTCAATGCAAGCTTTGAAAATGCAGTCAGCTATGAAAATATTTTGAGACAAACTGCCAAAAGGCCGGCATCATGTTGTAACATTGTGCACCTGGTAAGGTTAATACTGACTCAAGGGCAGTTCATCTGAGTCCCTGATAGATATTACGGTCTGTGTACTTTTGGCAATATAACTTATTCCATCTAAATTGTTGAGAAGGAAAATATTTCTTTAAAGAAACCAAGGTGCAATTCTCAGCAAGATTTCTTAACTGAACAGAAGAAGAAAAAGAATGAAAGAAAAAATGTGAAAGAGAAAAAAAGAAAGCACTAAGTAAATTCACTGAGAGAAGAAAGAAGGAAAGCAAAGAAGAAAGATTTCCTCAGGATTTATTAATTTCAAGACAAATAATAAAAAGAAAGAAAAATATGTGAATACCCTGAGGAGAAAGAAAAAAATAGAAACAGTTTGGTTTAGATAAACAAAAGAACAAAGGAAAAGTAAAGGAACTGTTTAGTCTAAGTGCTTAGATGGACAAAAGAGGTTGCCCCCCCCCTTATACTAATGTTTAGTTAAGAACAAAAAGAAGAGAAAAGAATGGACATACCTTGACCAGCTTCACTAGAAGATGGTCAAGGGATGGATAATGTGACATGACTTTTTGTTATCTTGCTTTGAATACATACTTTTTTGAAGTTTTAAAAAGTTGTCATCTAAAAACAAAAGAAATCCCCCTATGGCTGGTTGTTTCTTGATCAATACAAGTTATATTTGTTCTGTTTCAACATTGGACAATGTAAACAGAATGTGAGATCATCATCACCAATATAAAACAATTAACGACCAGTAAAAAAACGCTAATCAACAATCATCAAACCTTGATCATAAAGAAAATAATAATAATAACAATAATAATAATAATAATAATAATAATAATAATAATAATAATAATAATAATCCTATCATAATCATCAAGCAATGCTACATTAAGAAAGCTTCATTGACAGATCACCAAAATACCAAGTGTCTCTAATTATTAGATTGTCATCATGTCAACATCAAGAGATATTGAAAAGCAAAGTCTTATTGCCTGCTATATTATGATCAATACTTGGCAGAATGCACAGATAATACACTCTGATCCAAGGTTGGGTAGCAGCACTTTGATCCTTAGCAGATGCAACAGATCCCAGAAGTGTCGGGTTATACATATATGTTTTGGTCATTGTTTACAGATAATATAGCAACATTTCTGGAAAATGTAATAACATGATTACAGCAAAGAGGCATTTCAAAACAAAGTATTGCCTAATGTATAATTTGTGTCACTGATATAAGCAAGTATGTGAATATTTGAAGTATACAAATTACAATGAATTGCAATGTGCACTTAACTAATAACCAGAATTAAGATTTAGATGAATTTCAAAAGCAGAAAAACACCTGTGTCTACATCTTCAAAGCATTTTGAATAACTGATTTTTATTCAATGCATTTTTAAATGTTTGCAAGCTTTTCATACCAAAAATTTCCCATTTTAATTAGCTTTTGGATGAGTGCACAATCCAAATGACAAGCTTAGCAGATTAAAAATAAAAATCTTTATTGAAAATCACTTACGTGTGATGACCAGGAGAAATGTTGTAAGAAGGTCTGTACTGATTTCCAGTTTTACTGTCTTTCCAAATAGGTCGTTGTCTTTTCCCATCCTTGCCTTTGTAGGTACAGGCATCACAGATTGTGTCAGGGTCCAGAGCACTGGGAAAAAATAAAAGCAAAAGAAACTATACATTAGTGTCAGTGTAAAGTTAACTGAAAAGGTAGAGCCACTCGACACCTAGAGAAGAGAATTGCCCAACATGCATCAATATGTATTAGAAAAGGTTAACTGGATAATTTGTATAAGTGTTCAGTTACATACGGGTCTGCATTGTGGCACATCTAGGGGCAGTGGGTAAATAATCAAATGGGTCTGCAATCTCAGAACATTAAAACTGTGAAACCAGTAAAGTTATTCTAAATAAATATTCTTAAAGATTCCAGATGCATTTTCAACTTTTTTTCGACATGCACACACACACACATGTGTGTATATATATATATATATATATATATATATATATATATATATATATATATATATATATATATATAATGGACTCTCATGTTGCTTTTGATGTATAAGGATCTAACAACCTCATTAAGTTTTTATGTTTGTGTTGTATGTGACACTTCAGTCCTGCTAATGACCTGCATACACAACAGCTAGGAACTCAGAACATAGCCACAGGAAGATTTACTGATGCTTTTCGCTGTTGTCTTTTGTCTCTTAGCCAGTTAATACAACTGATTTTAAAATTTCTGATACCATTCTGGCAAAAATATATCTAGTAATTTCTATCCAGAGCAACTAGCTTGAAGTTAGTATGAGGCACATTGACAGCTGTGAGGTTACTATTTAGTTTGTATTTATACCTGAGCCAGGCCCACTTGTCAAGCTGGCTATACATGAGGACCTTAGGTATTCTGTCATAATTCATCCTTGCAACATAACCATCCCAGAAAATCTGTGACTGTTTCAATTCTACTACAATTTCTAAGTTGCATTATTGGACACCTATTGTCAAAAGTGTAGCCACAGATCATGCGGAGACATAGGGTCCATGATTCTGAGCAATATATATATATATATATATATATATATATATATATATTAAAAAGAAGAGGGGTGCCGCAAACGTTTTTGGTTGTAATGTGGAACCACTACAACATATTTTTTTTATATATATATATATATATATATATATATATATATATAATATGAAGAAATATACTCTTAAGGTGTGCTATATTTATGGGATAAAGTGCTTATATAGGGTGTATCAAAAATACTTTTACAAACTTTGGGAGTAGTTTCCTCACATCAAAACAAGGACATAAGTCCATATAAACATATGTCCACAAATTATTTGTTTTTAAGTTTAAAGAAAGTTTATGGTAGATGGCGCTGTGTTGCTATGTAGTCTAGGTTACATTTGTGGTTAGTCTCTCTTCAATGTTTAACATGTGTAGTAGTGAGTTAACTGAGAAGTGTTTTGTTTAACAATACTAGGATACTCAGATCATGAGCAGGCAGTTATGATTTTTACATATGGTAGCGTGAATGATAATGGACACTGCATGGCTGTATCAGATTGCATTTCCATACTGAAGACAGCCAAGTCATCCAACCTTTGCTGCTGTTTATCATCACATTGCTGAGACAAGATCTGTGGCACCACAAACCATGGATTGAGGAAGACCAAAATCCACTCATACACCTGACCATGAAGAACACATTCTACAGGCTGTAGATGATGATCCAGGTATCAGCACACATCAAGTGGCCCTAGTATGATGTACATCTCATACTACTGCATGGAAGGTACTTCAAGAGCAACTCTTGTATCTGTATCATTTGAAACATGTGCAGGGTCTTTTGGTATCTGACCACTCACCATGGGAAAACTTTTTGACAATGGTTTATTGCACAAACTGCTGATCTATTGTTTGTCTCTTCAGTCTTGTTTACAGATGAGGCAACATTTGGAAGAAATGGAATTACAAATTTACACCACAAACATTTGTAGGTGAATAGGATTCCCATGGTACAATGCAGGCTAGACACTAGCATCACTTTATAGTTAATGAGTGGACTGGAATTGTAGGTCACTGTCTGACTGGTCCATATGTTCTCCCAGCACATCTTACAGGAGCTGTCTACAGGCACTTTATTTTGAACACACTTCTGGACCTGCTAGAGGATGTACCTCTGCTAATATGTGATTTATCCATGATGCAGCTTCAGCACATTTTAGTCACAATGTTTGTGATGCACTGGCTGATATTTTCTATAAAAGATGGAGAAATAGAGGAGGACCAGTTCCATGGCCTGCATGTTCCTCCAACCTCAATCTTTTGGATTTTTATCTATGGGGCCAGCTAAAATAATTTGTTTTTTGTAGCAAACATTAATAATGCAGAAATACTTCATCAACATGTCATGGGAGCCCTGTGAAAACATTTGACACCATGTGGGAGTATTTGAAAGGGTCCACCAGTCAATAATCCAACAGGTGCATGCATGTGTAGAAGCAAGCACAGGACATTTTGAACATTTGTTTTGAATTACTGTGTTGAGGTAAAATAATGCCTTTTGGACATGTTTATAAGGAAATTTTACCTTATTTTACTGTAGGGAACCTGTCCCTGAAATTAGTAAATTATTTTTGATACACTCTGTGTATATATATATATATATATTGCTCTTATTTATTTGATGAATTGAAAAATTATGGATCAAATTTAACAGAAAGATTAATAATGAATAAATAGAAAAATATTTATAAATTTAACATGTTTCACTAACTTTATAGTAGCTTCCTCAGAAATCTTTTTGGGAATGATAGAACATGTGGAGAATGTTTCAGTATTTTAAATTCCATGCTCACAATAATGAAGCAATGATAAAAAGAGCAAAACATGTCAAAATTATAAATGTTTTCCTATCTATTCCTTATTTAATCACTGTTCTTATTTGCATAGCGTGATTTAAACTGGTTCATGACTTCATGGCCAACCTGTATATCTTGTCAAATAGACATGTTTGAGATTTGAATAACAAACAAATGATGTCATCTACATTTTTTATAATCACAGTAAGAATTCAATTTGTATATCTTAAGTATTTTTTGTTTTTATTTATACAGAATTTTAGCAATTTTATTCAATATTAAACAATTTATATTTTGTATTGTCAATATCTTTATAGGACAATGGAATCTATGAGTAATTTATGTACAATTGTTTGCTACTAAAAAAAAATTATTAAATTTATTAACTAATCAATTTTGCATATCCACAAATATATAACCCTTTTACTTACTAGCAAGAGACCGAGTGAAAATACACTTTAGAAATAATTTATGAAAAACATGATTTTCAACCTTTATAGAATATCACTTAATTGCAGAAACAGTTTTTTCCCTTAATGCCAAAGTGGATTTAACCATTAGACAGTATTTAAGTTTTTTTAAAATTTCTCCTCAGAGAAGATTTTTCTATTGCTTGGTGAGTTTCTGTCACAAAAGATCCTGTTTTAACAATAAGAATATCATACATTTTAAATGACTAAATCCAGTAAAAAGTAAAGATCTGTAATTGCTGAATGGAATCATCAATTCTTAAAGCTTAAAACAATAACATCCACATGTTTTGGAAATACAAAACTCCATTTGGAAGCAATTATATTCATAAGTGAAGAATTATGTGTATGTAGCAGGCACATGTGCTCACACACACTTCACATAGACATGCATTTAAAAAAAAAAAAAAGATGATTACAAGTCAATTGCAGAATGAATGGAACAAATCTTTGCAGTTTTGATGGAAAGAACTCTACTACCAAGATGAAACAGTTTGGTTAAAACAGAAGCTGATTGTGAGAAAAAAAGATGAGAGAGAGAGAGGAAGCAAGGAGAGCAAAAGAGAGAAAAAACAGCTGCAGTTTCTGAGTATGTAGGTCAAGACAACAAGGGCTTTGTAAGCATAATTTCTATCTTTGTAAATCAAGGTCAAACAACTTTCCAAACAAACTTTATCTTTTTGTTTTGTCAGGTTAAACATATCAACTAAGACATATTCAGGGTTTGGCCCAAAATTTTAAACCACTGGTTAAAGATACCTTTTATTTAAAAACTAGAATGGCCTCCAGGTTTTTTAGTTTTCAAAATAAATATATCAAAGAAAAATAAATAAATAAATAAAAAGTAAAAAATTAACAAAAAAAATAAAGAAAAATCCAAATAATGCAGGATGTTCATTTTGATTTTGTTTGTCTTTCCTCTTCAAGATATTTTGCATAACTATCAATTTCTGGTTGTTGTGGCTTCAAAACATAAACACTTTGTTGTATATAAAGAGGAGAAAATTCAATGTTTATAACATTATCAAACTTTTATTAATGAAGGACTGCTACTAAGATAAAATGTGCACACATTCACATACACATTCACATACACATTCACATACACATTTCAATAAGGTGTATTTAGGACACAAGAATTCTTTCAAACATGTTTGGTTAAATAATATCGATATAATGAGTTGGTTGGTTAACTTGACACCCCTAAAGTGAGTGGAGGTGGGCAGGCACGAAAACTGTGATAGCTTGTTGGTGTTTTGCATGGACGAGTTACCAAGCTCTGTGTAAAGGGCTAGAATGAGAAGGAGGGCAGTTCGTCTCAGAAGGGGAAACTGTGCCCGTCACTATGACAGTAGGAGAGAGATGAATTTTTTTTTTTTCTTTTGTGACACATTTCAACACAAGCTATTTCGGCAAACCTCAGATGTTGACACGGTTTATTTGAATCCAGCAGCAATGGCAAGGAGGCCTTTTGACCTGCAGTTGATTCCTGAGTTTAGAGGGGCCGCGTCGGATGAACCAATTATAGAATGGCTCGAGCAAGTAGAGATGATCTGTGAGCTGGCAGATGAAGAAAGAGTCGTGCATTCACCCATTGAGGTTGACTGGTGGGGCTCTCGCTGTGTATCGGCAACTCAGCAAAGAGCAGAGAGCTGATATTGAGGAAATAAAGCGCACACTCACCACTGTGTTTTCGCCGTAGATGCATTTGTAGCATTTGAACAGTTTGCAATGTGGCGACTTCATGATGGAGAGACAGTCGATGAATTCCTGGCAGCACTCGAGAAAGACCACCTGAAACACGGATAGTTTACGCGTTTGTTGTGGGGTTGCCACAGCATGTCTGTCAGCAGCTTTGGGCATTGGCGTGAATGAACACTTTGACATTAGACCAGCTCTGTGTGAGAGCTTGAGCCATCTGAGGATGAGGACCCTGTCATCCCACTCAGAGGGAGTGCCTGGCAGAAG